CTTGATCCGCTTATTTTTTTCATCCGGAACAATGTTTTTCTCTCACAAATTCCTCCAGCATTCCTCCAAACCATCCAGATTCATCCAGAATTCAGACAAGCGAACAGGCCCAAGGTCTACAACCTTGGAGGAAGCCATCAATGCATGACTTCAGTGCTACAAACATCCTACTGAATCTTCTCTTCTTATCCACAACCTCCCACTCAATCTCTACAACACTGCCAGGACTTCTCTTCTCAATCTCTCTCTTTCAAGAAAACACATGTACAAAGTTGTCCTCCCAGCCACCCATTACCTCATCTAAGGCCATTTGTCGGCCGTCCCAAACAACGTAGTAGCTCACCTGGATGCAGTACTTCTCCTCCAACTTCTCCTTTAAGCAAAAGGGCTTTGATGGATGTCTAGGCACTGCAAGCAACACAGGAAGAGAAGAAAGCTTTTGAATTCTGTGATTTTGTGTGATTTTGTGTGCTTTTGAGCCACCTGTGCCATATGAACTTAGCAAAACTTGGTATTGTAATGTATTAAACATGGTATTGTAATTTGGCATATGAACTTGGCAGAACTTGGTAATATATTCTTGTGAACTTGAAGGCTCGGTAATATAGTGAATTCAAGGCTGTTGTTACTTGTTGTATGTTGCTGACCTTATTCAAGTTGGTCATGCTGAAAATTTATTATCCTAGGCAATGTCACATAACTACATTTCATTCATTTCACAAACATTACAAAGCTAAGTTCATGCTTGGTTATACAATAACATGCACATGGCAACAAAAGCATATAACTCCTACAAACACACTGGCCACATTCATCCATCTAAGAACTCTCTGCTCTCCAGCTATTCTACTCACATCAGCCCTCAGAGCTACTACAACATTGTTCAGGTTTAACACAGAATTCTCCAAAGCCTTCAAGCCGGCCATCACTGCTACAGCATCCACGCCATCTCCTGCGCTCACTGGCTTCCACATGAAGAAACTGCACTGCGTGTTGCCCTGATCACGCTGAAAAACACAACATTGGGATGAACCCTAGATCCGATTTGAAAATACCAAAATGGACCAGCAAGAAATGCAAATAACTCACCCAGTCACGATTCTTGCAAGTGTAGAACTGCTTGTCTAGGTTGTTTTGGGTTCTGGATGTCCGCTCCACAACCATCGCCGTCCTACAGAAAGGGCACAGCGGCTGAGCCTCTCTCGCTCCACGCGAACCTGTCGAGGATGAAGCACCCGAGCCTGTCGCCATCTTCAACCGGCCTCTGCTTGCTTTTTCGTGTCGACCATGCTAGCCCGCCACCACCGTGCCCGTGCGCCCGCCTACCGCGGCCGCCGCTGCCTTTATCGTGGAGACGGGGAAGGAGAGTGAGACAGTTAATGGCCGGGTAACGGACGAGTTCTTATGGGTCCAATCAGACCAGGTTGGGGGCGGACCCAAGTGTGGTTCAGGGGCACCGGATGTCCAAAATAAAGTTTTCTCTCTCCTCAACCGGTTGAAACCGGGCCACAGTGTCATGTGGCCTAATTTTAACGAACCAGAGTGTCTTCTGGTAAAATGCTCCAAAGTGGGTATCCGCCAGAAAATGACCATCACTTTGATGTCCAATAGAGAATTTTCCCTTGTATTTAGTTTACAAAAGCAAAAGGACGTGGTTTGTGTGCATATCTATATATCGACAATACTTTTTAATTTCCTCTAATGCAACTTAGCATGAGTCACAGGTGTTGTTTAATCTCATACTCCCTCCGTCCACAAAAAAATGCAATTCTCGATTTTTTAAGAAGTCAAACAATTTCAACTTTGACTAAATTTGTATAAAAGATACTAACGTTCATGATATAAAATAACTACCATTAGATTCATCATGTAATCTATTTTCATAAAAAAAAGTTTGGAGACATAAATCCTAATAGTATTTACTGTAAAGTTGGTCAAACATAAGCTACTTTGACTGGCACGATTTCTATAGTTGTATTCTTTTATGAACGGAGGGAGTACCGGTACCTTTTTTAAAAACTATTCTCTCCGCTATATCTAGACATTTGCATATGACATTTGCTATATATCTAGATATGGCGTAGTATCAGGTGCATAAAGAAGCTACGTATCTAGAAAGTCAAAATGACTTAATTATAATTTGAAATGAATTTAAGTACCTAGTATTTTCTTCGTTCCAAAAAATAATATTCTAATTTAAATGAAGTCGTTTTTTGAGTAAATCAAGTCATTTTTTTATGTTGACTGAATTTATAGAAATAATATCAACACTTATATCTCTAGATATATTTCCTATAAAGATTATGTTAATTAAACGATACTCCGTATGTATTTGTTATCATAAATATTTGTATTTCTTCATACAGATGAGGTTAAATCTAAAACGATTTGCATTTTTAAAACGACAATTATATTTTTTTTTGTTTGCTGCCAGCTTGGAGTATCTAATATTCGATTTCGACTGCAAGCAAGGGCGGCGCACCCAACCACATAGACATAGGACAAAATCAAAGCAATTCACCGTTCCCGTTCGTCCGTTCCGTGGGCGGGCACGAGACACGATGCGCGGCGCTAGCTAACGGCAAGTCGGAGCCAATGCCACGTGGGCCTCCTCCGCTGGGCACGTGGGCGGGGACCGGGACGGCGGCGGCCGATGGGCCCACCCTCCCTGCTTCTCGGCTCTGGGCGAGAATGTCAACGGGGCCTTTTGAGTTTTGATCACGGCCGTCGGCGGTGGATGGACGTGATCGGCCTCTTTTGTCTTTTCACCTGTGCAGCCGGCAGCGGGTGGGGTTAGTTGACTGACTTCCGTCGGGCTTCGAGCCGTTGATGTCCGACAGACTACAGTACTCCTACTATTTGTCTTTTTTTTCAACGCTTGAGGGTGTCTCTAACCTGAGACCCACCGGGAGACCCAAATCTAAAATAGAGCTTCAACAGAATACCTATAGCCTCTGACAGAATATCTATATAGAAGATCCAGTTTGGGTGTCAGGAGAGGTATAACCCAAATCTGAGTATTCTCTCTTCCGAAGACCCATTAATAGAAAGAGTTCTCTTTTGGTTTTTGTTGTTGGAGAAGACAAAAAATTGGTAGTAAACCCTTTACTTGTAGCACTACCCAAACGTGGAATATGTCTTGTATTTTGGGTAACGGTTGTTGAGGACAGTTTAGCCCCGGACATTAGTACTAGTAAGGACAGTCTCAGAGCAAGTACAATAATGGGTTTATAGCCAGCATTTTTGCTGACGTGGAGGAGAGAAAAGATGAGAGAGATAGGAGAACTTGGCTGTTACTCTAGTACCAAGCTGGGCACGGAAGCATAGACACCTGCGGGCACAAACAATAGTGTATGCGAGGAGGAGTAGGAAAGAAAAAATAGACATGGTATCACATAATAATAATAAACTTTTTAATAAACAAATAGGAGACAACTATTGTATGACTTGGCTCTTATAACTTGACTTATTGTCAAGCACTTGGCTTTATTATTGACCTTGTTCTCAGTGGAAGTTTCATCTAAGTTTCATTCGCATTTAATAAGGTGTCATGTAGGCATTTTTTATGACGTGGAACCATATTTAAGAAGAGAGAGAAGAAATAAGTTTCATGGGAGATGGATCTCTCCTGACAGAGTTACCAACTCACAGTGAGTCATAGAATTAAATGTCTATGAAACTCTAAATTGAAACTATGTATTTGAGAGTGGTTGTTTCTTTCAAGTTTCATTTTATATTTATTTGATGTGGCATTCTTGAAAACAACGCTACGAAACTTACCATTGAGACTGGCCTGACTACCCAATTCATCTCTTGCGACACTTTTCTTTGCAAGGGAATGGAAATAAATCGTTTTTTAAAATTACTTTAAGATATTTTTCAAATTTAAATTTGTACTAGAAAAGAACACCAAAGTTTATGAGATATGTTCACTCAGGTGTCATAAATATTTTTACGGACAGAGAAGAAGAATTAAGAAAAAAAAAAGAAATAGGAAGAGAAAAAGATAAGGAGAAATGGCAAAATATTCAGTGCAAATCACATCTTCGGTGTAATCCATGAAAACCACATTAAAACCATACTTGGTGTGCATAGTTTCATTTTTTTTGAAAACTCCAAAGTATGATTTTGCAAAGGGTTTTCACGATTGTATCGAAGATGTAGTTTGCAATGAATATTTTGCCAAGAAAAACAACGAGCACACGCTTCGGCTTCTTTCAACTGTGATTGCACCAGCAAAGTTTGAGTACTGTTTTATAAGCCTATCTTCCTATGCAACCACAGCCAGCCTACAATCGGAAGTAGCCCAAAGCCCCCAAAAGAACAGGTTGATGGATCCGCCGCCAAGGCAGTGAATCAAAAGTATTGGCTCAAACTGAGTTTTCTGAAGCGATGAGCATTATCATAGTCGAATTCGAACAGGATCAATTTTAGCATTTGCAAATTGCAAATGACCTTGAAATCCAACCTTCGACTCCATGCAAAAAAGATCAATTCTTCTTTGGGGATGCTCAGCGTGTTCGGCTCGGCTCAGCTTGTTTCAGCTTATTCTCTCTCACAGAACACTATTAAATCAGCCAAAAATAACCGGAACAGACTAGTACACAGTAAATTTCTGTACCGTCTCTGTTATCTCAGTGACACGCTCCACGGCAGTTTTTTTTCCCCCTTCTGAGGGATGTGCAACATTTGAGGCCCAGTAGCAAAGGCCCGAATTCCGCGAGGCATCAGCAGGCCGTCGGGGGAAAAAATTCAACCACCAATCGTGGCCCGTTGGCGTGATCCACCAACCCACCCGTCCACTCCAAAGTGCTCGTCGCAAAAGCAGTGGCAGTGGCACGCGATTCCTTCTCGTCTGCTTCTGCCTGTGCCTGCTCCCCCCACACGTCATTCCCCATCCGTCCGCCGCGGCTCCACCACCTCCAGTCCTCCACTGCCCCGCGCCCCGCTCCCGCTCCCGCTCCCGGACGGATCTCGAGGCTCGAGCCTCCCGGGGAGTGATGGCCGACGCGTACTGGAGGTACGCGGCCGCCGACCCGCGCCAGCAGCAGCAGCAGCCTCCGCCGCCCTCCGCCGGCGGGGGCGTCGCGCACCCGGGCATGGGCGGCGGCGCACCGCAGATGGCCCCCGCCCTGGGGCAGCAGCAGCAGCCCATGAAGCGACCCCGCCCCGCCGACTTCTCAGGTTCGCCTGCCTCTTCCCTTCCCTCGCCCTCGATCTGATGATCCGCGCGCTGCTGGCCTGCCTGCCCGCTCGATCTACCCGCTCCCGCTGGGCGCTTAGGGTTTTAGCGGTTCGCAAGCGGCGCCGCGCCGCGCCTCACGGCAATGCGCCGGTTCCGTTTAATTGTTTGTTCCCGCCCGCCCTGTACTGCCTGATGCGGTCTCGTTGTTTTCGCTCGACCTGCCTCTGTCAACGATGCGTCGAGGTGATGCCGTCTGTGTTGACTCCCTGCCGGAAGTAGGGGCTAGGGAAACGTCAGGCTTCTGTCTTGAATTCGGTGCCACGGAGCTGCGGGACCGGATCCAAAATGGTTACTTGCAGGATCTGTCACGATCGCTTCAGTACCACTGATGGGTCGCCTGGGGTTTTGTCAGATTTAGAGTGCACCTAAACCCCACTCGTAGATCTAGGACGCACCTAAAAGCCACTCGTAGATTCAGGATGCACCTAAAACCCACTCGTAGATTCACGTATGCAGTTTGGGTGCTAAATGATTTAAGGTGCAGTGTGCGGATGTTCGAACCATTTGTCTACTGCAAGTCGCGTGGGCAAACTCTGGTCACTCACAGCGTGTTTGGTTTGCATCACCGAACCATTCCTTCCATGGCGTATGCTGCTGTTTGGTTTACGCTGTGGAATCACTTGTCCGTCACGGAGTTGTTCCACGTAGAGACTCCCGTGGGCTATTCCCAAGGAACAGACACATTCCTCAAAAAAAAGTCAGATGACTCCATGCCTCACCGACCCACAAGTGGTTGGGGATGGGTATCCAAACCAAACAGGCTGTTAGATTGTCTATTTATGCTTAAGGTTAAATCATACTGCAACGTGCAGGCATGTACAGACCAAAACTGCAGTACCGTGGAACAAAAGTTCTTTCTGTCACACTGGCTTTACTACCTCTGGAGTCTGGAGCTAATGTAGTTCTAAGACTGTGAGTCACCTTATAACCGATAAAAAGCATGAGCTAATGTCTGAGACTGAGACAATTTGTAATCGAGGAAAGTGATTGCAACACGAACAACTCTAGACCGTACTATCGTTGATAACTTTGCTGTATATAGGTGTTCCACAAAAATCTGGACAGCATTTTGGCTTGAACTCTATATTTACTGTTATGTTTTTTTCATTGCATAGATGTACCTGGTGCACCTGACATGACTGGCTATTATCCACGTGATGAAGAAAGGGCAGGGTATCGTCCCTGCTAGAGATACCGAGGTTTTAACGCGTCCTCTGAACGCTTTCTTCGTACTGGGGTATCAACTGTTGGATTGTTGCATAATCGTCTTTCAAACACAGTCTGCTAATACTTATGTTGAACTTCAGCAAATTCAATCCTTTGGTGGTGGACCTGCTGGAGAACCTATTAGGCCTGCTGTGGGTGGCAATGCTGGCTACCCAGTTGATGATCGTTCGATGATGGCTGCTAGGGGTATGGATAGCAGAAATATTGGTTTCGGTGGTGGAATGCCAGAGCCACCCCTTCCACCTGATGCCTCAAACACCTTATATATTGAAGGCATTCCAACTGGCTGTACACGTCGAGAAGTTTCACGTATCCTTAGATATATACATCTTTTCCGCCACTCTCTTTTTCTAAACATCTATTTGCATAACTGCGATCAAGCATAGCTAGTCCTTCACTTCCCCCAGACATCTTCCGACCATTTGTTGGCTTTCGTGAGGTTAGGCTTGTAAACAAAGAACCGAAACATGTAAGCGAACTACTTGTTTTTTGTAGCCTTTGTCTCTTTTTTTATTGTCATTCATTCTTCTGACTACTTCGCTATTCGCAGCCTGGTGGTGACCCTATTGTCCTGTGTTTTGTTGATTTTGCGGAACCTACACAATCTGCTATTGCCATGGAGGCTTTGCAAGGTGAAACTGATGAACTTGACATGCATAGATACTTTCTGAACTATGTGAAGTTGAAATTAAGCCATTGATCAGATTTGCTTACTAAAGTTTGGTTGCATTAAGTCATACTCCACCCTTTTTCTTCTATGTTGAAACTATGAATACAATGTTCAGGTATTGGTCTAATCAGAATCCATTTTCCATGAATGCCTCAAGTTTGTCATACATAATTTCGAGCTGAAACCTACCTTCTCTGTCTTTTCCTAGAAAGCATGTAGTGAACCTTTAAAACCTTGAACACCACTGTACATATAAATATTTGTAGTTTTTACATGGAAATGATACTATTACATTCATCAACTCATTGTTTTTTCATGGGATTACATTTGATTATTTTTTCTACTGTATAATGTGATAAACTATTGCTCAGAGGTGTGTATTGCCAATTGTCAATGTCTCAATGATTGTCCAAATGACAAGTAACATAGAATGGAGGGAATAGCTATTTCTTTCTTGATTTTTTGTTCTATCTATATTTTTTATCCCGAGTGCTACTTTTTTCCTTCAGGATCCACATCCACATAGGCATATGTTGGGGTGGTAGTTCGGTGCCTTAGGCCAAGAGCCTCTTATTGGGATACAGTAGTTTCAAGTAATTGTCCTTTATTTTGCTATAGAAGTAATGGCCAACCAAAGCTATTCGAAAGCAAGATATGTAAATCTTGTCAGTGTAGTACTACTCTAAAGTTCAGGAAAAATTTCTGCCACATGATCACTCAATCGGTTATTGATGCTTTTGCCATCTGATAAGAGTGATGTTCATTTGATAAAGCTTATTGTGCTGACCAGGGGCTTCACATTTTTCTACAAGACTTTCTACAAGACAACAGCAGAAATAATGGGGACACCCTTGGCGTCATTGACACTTCACTGGCACCGTTGCTAGTTAAGTAGTTAGGGCAGTTCCAACCATGAAACCATGGGATAGTTTCCATACCTACCAATTAATATAGACACTACCCATAGAAACTGTACTCCCAATGGATAGTTTCTACAAATAAAATTTTAATCCAATCATCTATCTTATCTCTCCTATCATCTACCTATCACAGTTCTTCCTATCTTGGTTCCCATGTAGACATGGTTTCTTGTAGAGCAAGTATAATAAGGGGCTGTAAGCAGGCTGTAGGCTTTCACGTGCCTGAACCTTGATGGCTTCTGCTGGGTTTCAACTCTAGCCTACCCCAAATTGTTTGGGACTTAAAGGCTTTGTTGTTGTTGTTGTAAGCAGGCTGTAGACTAACGTGGAGGAGAGAGGGAAGGAGAGAAAAGAGAAGTGGGCTATAAGCTCACAGCCAGCTTATGCGCAGGAACCAAGAAGTTCTGTGAGACAAACAAGTGGGCTGTAAGCCGACTAACTATTATACGAGTGGGCTGATAGATTGGCTGTAAGTTTCCATACAGCCAGCAGTCGTCTATATTATTAGCCTTGCTCGTATAAGAAACCATTTCCTTATCTCTCCTCCTTAACTCCAATGCCGCATCAGCGTTATGCTTACTTAGCACCTTAATTAATGCCATGGAAACCATCCATTGGGACTGCCCATATCTGTCCTTTGTCTGACCACCAGGTTTTAGTATCTGGTATATTACTGTGAGGGTGGGGTGGGGGCAGTCCACTTTGTGTTGTTTGCTAAGAGAGGTGGATGATTGGAGCCACTTAGACCATGTAAAAGGGACCAATGCCCAGATTTCTCCTGGCATTCGTTTCCAACCTTTGTAGCAAGATTGGTAATGCGGAGTTTGCCGTGCCGTCTTTCCAAGAATATGTTGAATAGAGTGTTGTTCCTATCTGCCGTGGGCTGTTTGTTAATTCACTTTGCATCCATAATCTACTATAGGTGCAATATTGACATGATGCTAATCACAAGGCTCCATGGTTGATTTTGCAGGCTATAAGTTTGATGAGCACGATCGCAATTCACCCAATCTGCGGCTGCAGTTTGCTCGTTTTACGGGTCCAAGGGGGAATTCAGGACCTGGTGGCGGTCGTGGAAGGCGATAAGTTCTTGGCGTTCCTTTTTCCAGGTGATTCACGAATTTTCTCATTCAACATATTCTCTCAAAGAACTGAAGTCAGAGTTTTCGTGCGGCGATAACATTAATCAATCGCTTCTGTCACTGTTTTGTAGGCCTGTTCGCAGCGAACACCCATGTGGGATGTTGTTAGTTTGATCATCGTTCCAGAGATATTACTCCATACTTCCATAGAAATAGGATTGGTAGCTTGGACCTTGTGGTTCCAGCGTTGCGACCCTGGTCTCGCTAGATGTATTCTTGGCAGAATGCACTAGCTGAACATGGTAGGTCCAAACATATGTACCATCCCGCAGGCGTAATGCCTAATATCGCTGAAGTTGTTTGTAATGTGCTGATTTGTATCTTGAGGCAGGTTGGCCGTTTAATCTGTGGACTTGATGAATATTATTGACCTGGCTGCTGTTACATTTGAGAGTTTATCGCCGAATTTGTTTGGTAATGTATGCATCTCGTGTGTATTTGTACGCCCATGCGTCTATTTTTCCACACGCACAGCAGTCTCAGAACTGCTGTATGTGCTAAGTTGCAAGCTGGTTCATATTTTGGGCTAGCACGCCACCCATTGTATGGCTTACCGTGATGTTCTGGAAAGCGTTAAGAGTAGTTTCAAGTGATGCTAGTGTTAGTGGTTTCTTGGAACGGAATTGCAAACCGTTTTGTAGCGGCTTCCATGGTCAGTCGAACCTGATGAAATGTTCTCACTGGCCTTTGTGGAGATTGGAGAAGTAACTTGCGTGATGCCTTACGAAAATCGACAAATGGTAGTTGCGCATTTCTTTGAGAACCTGCATGCTCGTCTTGGTCAGTTTAATCGATATCGGACTCATTCTTTAATTTGTGGCGGGCGTTTGGTTTTAAATAAGGCAACGTATCAGTTGCAAACCAACTAAACTGTGTAAACTTGAAAACTATCAATCATAACCACTAGATGCTGATCCAATGAATGGGGTGAGAGGTGGGATTTTTTTGCACTTAAGCCCCCCACCCGCCGTACTTTTTTTTTTCGCTTAAGCCCTCTCACCTCATCCATTGGATCAACATCCAGTGGTCCTGATTAGTAGTTTCTAAGTTTGCACAGGTTGGTTAATTTGCACATAATATGTTGCTTTTAAATAAAGGCCTAAGGGCCCGTTCGTTTAGGCAAGGATTGGTCCAGGAATCGTTCCAGCTGCTGGTAGCTTATGTAAATATGGCAAACAATCCGACCAGGAACGGTTCCAGGGAGCGGTTTTGTGACAACCGAAAGGACCCTAAACCATTTAGCGGCAGGCCGGCAGCCCCTTGTCAGGGCCCGGATCAAGGCCCTGACTGTTTGTGGCACTGGAACCGGATTCAGAGAAGAGGAACGAAGGATACAGGGATATTCAGAGTTCTGTATTCATATCATCGATAACGATTCAGTTGCATTCGCCACCTTTTATACACGCCACACAGGCCACCGCCTAACAGCTGACTAACAGAAGCATAACGGCTTCTCAGCGACTAACTAATCCCAGCTGCAGAAAGTAACGGTTCGACAACAGCCTGACGGCTACAGTCCTTGCTGGCAACAGACACTGAATGGCCTGAATCTTCAGACATCACCCCATCTTCCGTGTCTTCTTCCTGTGCATGACATCATCTCCCCCTGAGCCCCTCGAAACCCAGCTTGTCCCCAAGCTGGTATGCCAGAAAACTTCAGACATCACCCCATCTTCCGTGTCTTCCTCCAGCGTGGCACGGCTCCGGCGAGCTCTCGACGAGCCTACTACTGTGCTCGTCAGCCTCAACCTCAACTGTGCCTCCACAGGCAGCGTCGTCGACGTGCACCTGCTGCTGCGATGAGAAGAAGAGGGACGACATCATCACCTACAGCTTCCCTTCCTTCCATCGAGCTGAGCTTAGCAGTCGCTTGGCGTTTCTCGAGAACGCGAGTGCCCTCGCAGGGAGCCCTCCAACTCACTCCCGACAGCATCAACGACGACACCGAGGGCTTTCTTGTGAACCAGTCCGGTTCGACCCTCCTGCTGTCTCCGGTGAAGCTCTGGCACGTCGACTCCCATGGAGTGAAGCACGATGCGTCCTTCAACACCTCCTTCACGATGATCCTCTACAGAGTAAGGTCATGTTTAGTTCACTCCCAACTCTCAATTTTGGCACTATGCAAAAAAGAAGATTTCGTGTCGCAAACTTGCGGTACATGCATGGAGTACTAAATATTGACGAAATCAAAAACTAATTGCATAGTTTGATTGTACTTTGCGAGACGAACGTTTTGAGCCTAATTAGTCAACGATTGGACAATTATTACCAAATACAAACGAAATGCTATAGTGCGCTACAGTGTCGTTGAAAATCCGACGGCGCCAATTCTGGGCGCAACTAAACGCGGCCTAAATGAAACCTACCTTGTCAAAGGCGAGGGCCTCGCGTTCGTCATCGCCCCAACCCTCGACGGCCCGCCACCGGGAGCTCGGGTGGCTTTCTTGGCCTCACCAACAGCACCGGAGGGCCACCTCCGGCAGCAGTTTCGTTCTTGTCGTCGAATTCAACACGCACTATACCACGACCAATAATTAGCGTCGGATGATGATCGCTAAAACATAGTATTAACAACCAATAATTAGTTGCTACAAATTTCCACCGGAGTATCGGTCGCTATTTTTACTTGTAGCGACCGATAATCGGCTGGTGTATGTATTCCGTAGTTTACTCAGACAATCGGTCGCTAAAAATGCATATTAAGGTCCAATAATTGGTCGCTATATATAGCCTGGTTTCACTCTAGTGCTCTCGGCCCAGCCCACTTGCACATAGTGAAATTTGTGTGGCCCACCTGTCATAGTGTCGTCCAACTCACAGCGTGCCACCATCCCTCTCAATCTCACAGCGTGCCGCTCACGAACTCAGCTCGCGGGGGGCCATCCCTGCCGCGGCCGTCATGCTCGCCGTAGCAGTCACCGTCCCCACCGTCGCGGCCGCCGTCCCCGTTGCTGCGGCCGTCGTCCGGTCCGCCGTGCTCGCCCAAGCCTCCGCAGCCGTCGTGCCCACCCCGTCGTCGTAGCCGCCACCCTCTCTCCCGAGCGTACACGAGCAGGTACTCGTTCTCTTTCCCTTCCATCCCCGTCCTGCTCCCTTCCCTTCCATCCCTGAGTATGTACGGCTGCCCTGCTCTCCATCTCCAGTCTCAACTCTCAAATCAAATCCCCAATGGCCCAATCCGATCCATCCTGCTGGCTGCTGGAGTGGTGACAGGTGAATCCATGAATGCTAAAATCGAATCTAGTTCTCCAGTTTTGAGCTATGCTTGATTGCTTCCCAATTTCTGATTACTATATGCTAAATGGAGTAGATCCAGGCGTCCAGCATCACTAGGATGGTATGGCTGAAGAAATTATGTGATTGTTATCCCAATTTTTTCTGGTTCATATGTTTTTCTAATTTTACATATAAAAAAACCTTGGTGAATTTTTAGGTGAAACGGTTAAACAGGAACCAAGCTTTCATCAATTATATTATGACTTATATGGGACTTGTGTACTTATTGGTATATACCAGCCAAGTCTAGATCGAGCTACACCAGATTGATTGCTTTTAGCTGCTTGTATTGCTGTAGATAGAAGTATCGTAGTATTGAACTACCCTTCTAATGTATGCACTGGTCTGACCTCACCGTATTGTAATTACAACTGCTCCACGTGTAGTTGGACGCATTGGGAAGGCATTTGAATGTGCTCAGCAGCTCTGTGGGGGTCCAGATACCCATGGCAATGGACATGGGCCGCACCACCAGAGGAGGTTCAGCCCATAAGATCAAGACCTACGGTGCTCGGCTCTGGTCGGCGTGCACCGCAAGACAATCAGAAGACATCTTGGCGATGAAGGAAGATCTGTTCAGATATGATAGATATTATATTCCTTATAAATACTTACCATATAGCCGAATAGATCTGGGTACCCCCGGACTATATAAGGCGGGTAGGGACCCTTTCAAATTCATCTCATATTCAATACAATCCACCAAAGATATAGGACGTAGGATATTATGTCGATCAGACGGCCCGAACCTATCTAAATCGCTGTACCTGTGTTTGTGTCACCATCCGGTTCTTATCACGCACACCTCTACCGATCATCTACTACCGTGGGTATACCCCTCGGTAGACTGCCGACCAGATTCCGTCGACAATGGCGCGCCAGGTAGGGGCGGTGCGTGCTGATTCCATGGCGAGCCAGATGGTCCGCTTTCCGAGCTCCATGATCCTTCCTGAGCCAAGTCAGACCTTCACGGTCGGATCCATGACTTGGGTCATCAGCCCCGACGACAACGGGGAGATCGTGGAAGCGGTGCATAATCACCCTGCGCCGATCACGCCAACATCTACAACGACATTTCCGATCTCGGCGCCTCGCCACTGGGTTAGGAGATTCATCGATAATGATGATCTGATCGCATCAATTGATCGGGTCACAAACCGCTTAGCGAAATGTTAGCTCCTCGTGGATTCGATCTTAGATCAATCTAGAGCGAGCGATGAATTTCCCGTACTCCAAGATCACCAAGCCGCTGCAACCGAGCGACCTGCTCTACCACATCGTTCAAGGCGGCTAGATTTCGATCTGGTGATCATGGCAACTTCGAAAGGGCGTACCGTTCAACGCCGACCACTCCCCGCCCGACGGAGAACATGCCGAAGCCCTATTCTTTCGAGCTAGTGGGTGTGGGTCCGATGTATCGCTCTATTGTCCTTCTCATTTTCTTTAAACCCAAACTTTCTTATCGTTTTATCAACTTTAAATACTACTGTATAGAGACTTACTTTTAACCCATAAATAAATTTCTATAGGCGGCATCCCATATGTTCTTTTTTTTTACGAGAAAATCTTTTGGGTTATGCCATGTAAATGTTTTCATACAAATCCCCGTTGAGGAATGCCGTCTTTACATCCATCTGATGTAACTCTAAATCGTAATGTGCCATGAAC